TGTATCCAATGTATTTATTTTAAAAATTAATATATTAGTTGCACGTTTTATCTAAATGCAGGATATCAAATGCCCATATTTGTTCTTTCTTTACATAACAGTAGTACATGTACCCCATAATTGAAGCCAATTATTAAGTGTCCGTCAATGATCTTTGACAGGTAAACAATTAAAGCTCGTCTCTTATAGAAACAAAGAGAAAGCGAGAGCTTGGGATAAATTTAAATTATGAAATTTTGTGCAAACAATCAATGATTGTATGACATTAATATCAGAAAAAGAAAACACGGTTTAAATACTCTCATATTAACTGACCCCGATTTACATGTATTTACGATTTTGTAATAGCTGTTTACTAGAAATTAATATTCTTTCTGAATAGACATGTTTGCCGAACATACATCGACGTACAAATAATTTCCTATGAACAGTTATACCATACCCTTAATTTTACATATGAAAATATTGATCTGTAAATAAATGAAACGGGCAAATATAAAATTGCCTTGAAACACATTTTTAACGAATAACCGACTAAAGAAATTTTAGTCGATAGTCGGTATGATCGAACGATAGTCGAGTACTCGAATATTCGTTGACATCCCTATAATATATATTAGAAAAATTGAAATGTTGCATTAAACATTTAGAGTAAAATTCAAAATAATCTCCTAATAATGTTCTTTTCTTTGTGCAATACAACTAACTTGCTATGCGCGGTTTCGAATCCCACTGGGAGACGTATGGGCCGTTTCTTCGGATAGGACCATATCAACAGGAGCTCTGTGGCTCAGTAGGTGCTAGGACGATAATGATCTTTCAGTGCTCTAAGTGCTAGGTGGTGGTATTTCTATAAATGAGTGAAAAATTCTCGAAAGGAGCGTTAAACAACAAATGAATAAGTAAAGCACATCCACCGATGTTTTTCAAACAAATTGTAAGAGTATTATTTACATACTGATTTGTGTAAGGATTTCTGTGTACGATCGTGAAAAGCGATAGATAGCGGGTGTGATTGGTCGGCAGGGAATGTTAAGTCTCCTTGGGACCTGATCTCAACTTGTTTTGGGATTTCGTGTTTGCACTGCTCCCAATCAGAATCTTTTCAATAGAAATTTGAGCTCGAATACTGTTCTGCTATTTACAAGATTTGGTTAATAATGTTAGCTATAGTGAATTATATTTAACACAGTATACAAAGAGTTCTATTGATCAGCTTTGTACTCATCATATTCATAAATTACATATGAACTACAAATTGAATGCCTTGCCGACCGTCAAGGAATTTAAGATGACGGATTTTCAATTGATCCTCTATTAAATCAAAAGGAGGATTGTCAATCGAAACAGTAGCTTCTAATTGTTAAATGCCACGTTATTGTCCTATATTGAAAACTAAGTACAATAAACATGGTTATATTATGAGTAATTTCTCTCTGGCTGACAATCTAGAGATATTAATTTCGAATTTTTGCATTATTAAGTTTCAGTCAAATTGGATATCGTTTTATGTTGATGGTATTGTAGTAGTAATTACACAAAAGTGTGTTCTGAAAACAGTTTAGAGCGAGTTTTTGAAACAGAGTTTTCTTTGTTTGCTGTTGACCATGAAAATTCTTGTATTCACATATTTTAACGTTAATAGCTAAAACGTTATTATGGGCAACTGTAGGTTATAATGTTTGTCTATAAAAAATGGTAAAAAACTAATTTTAATATTAATAAGACGTTTTGGAAGATTTCGTTTGGAGGTCTATGTTTGCTCTTCTCCAATTTTGTATTGTACAATCGACTTTTGAGCTTGAATACTGTTCATTTTCTCCATATATTACACATTTCAAAACCTAAATTGATTTTAATTAAAGATTTCGTCTAGAGGTACACCCTCTCTTTGAGAAAATATATATATATATATATATATATATATATATATATATATATATATATATATATATAAAAAAAAACGGAATGGATCTATATATATTAATATACGTATGTTTGAATATTTTCTGTTTTAAATATCTATTCAATTGTAAGCATTTTTTTTACTGGATAAAATATAAGACTCTAACATTTGAGCTTTGCTAAAAATAAATATTCGTGAAATAGAGTAATCTAAACGTTCAATGGTGCCTCGAGTATAGAACTTTGTTTATTTATTTTATTTATTAGATAGAAATCATTTTGTACTAAAAATGTCTGTTTAGAATTTATAATTAAAATTAAAACTCTTTCGGTTTTAATAACCCCATCAACAAAAACAAAACACCCACTCCGGCTCTAAATCTGATGAAATTAAAGGTCTCTAGGTGACAGAAAATCAAAATCTTTCTTATTCAGATTAAATTTAACACAGTAAATCAGAATTATGTCCAATAAAGAATTAAGATCAATGTTCGGAGTCTTGTAAATCCCAATATTAGAGCTTTTTCAGCTGTTTCAAGTAATTTTGTGATGACGCTCAGTCATTAGGGACTATGAGCCCACGCTGAGTGCTGGCGAAAGAAAGAAATTGATATCTTAGATATTTTACCCATGGGGCTAAGATTTCTTTATAAATGGTTATGTGTGAATTCCTGAAACAAAAGCTCTCATTTACAATCAAATCCATAGTAATTAGGCTACAATAAGACGTGCAAAGCGCTGTTGTGAAATTGAGATCATTAAATTAAAGAATAAACGTAAATATATGAACGCAGATCATTCCGTGTAGTTAATGTACTTTGCTGCTTTTGAAAAACATGATTTTAGATTTTAAGGTCAAATTCAATATTGTAGAAATTGAAAGCAAAAAAAAAATAATAATAAAAAAAAAATAATAATAACAATGATAATAAAAATATCATTGTATGCTTTTCAAGCGTTATATTACATCAATTAGTTACATATTTGTGACTTGCCTACCCTACCTTCAAAACACTAAAATACAATTTGCAAATGAAGAAAATGAGTCTCTGATATTTCCATTTTGAAATTGATTATTTAGATATTCACTGACTCTAACCTTACTGCCCAAATACAACTGAATTATGCGGCAATCGGCCCGAATTCTACTCTTCCATTATCACCTAAAGTTATGTCCAATTTCAAACTCTAATATGTTGTTTGGGTCTCAATGGCTGATTTGGTACACAAGAGCATGTTCTGAATATAATCAATTACATTTGACCAAAACAGGCTATTGACAAACTGATGGACATACAGGGCTTACACCTTTCTTGTTTTTGTCATATTCTGTGATAGCTTTTAAGACCTCGGTTGCAAATACTTTAAGTTGAGTTATATTTTGACTGTCATGTTTTGTACCAAATGCTAGGTCAATGTTTTGTGTTTATTTGATAACGGATTTCTCCTTTTATCTGATCATTATAGCAATCTTACGGCAGGTTCGACTATTCGACAGGGAATGCTTTATTACTCAAACTAAGCGCCTGATTCCACATCTGGTGTACTATGGGTCTGTTTTTTGTTTTTTGTCCACTTCACAAATTACATTTTTAAGAGGATCTATGTAATCATTATATATGAAGTCGACCGCTGGTTAAAAAGTCTACCATTTTCTTTGTACTTTTATAAAACTATATATTCTTCAAAGTCAAAAAAATTACAGTTGGTGAAACAGTTACCTTCAAAGAAATTATAACTCAATAAAATTGTTATATTAAATAATGTTGTTATCATATTTTGTTGATGCGTTTGGCTTTCATTAAATGTTGTGCTCATTAGTCAATATTCTGGAAGTCCGAGTTTGCTCTGCTCCAATTTTGCATTGCTCAATGAACTTTTTAGCTTGAATACTGTTCGTTATCTACATATTATCTCGTTTATTGTTTTCTAAAAATGTTTTTATTCTAAACAGAAGATAAAAATAAAAGTGTGAGAAAAGTTTAAATAGGATTACTTTGAATTCAAGAAATTATGGATACAAAATGCAGTGGAATCATTTTACTTGAAGTTAAGTATCTATATACAAATTACTATGCATAGAAACTCCGTGATGACTAAGGGAGACTGAACATAGTTCAACTCCAAAAAAGGTTTTCAATACTGATTGAGTAGTTCGGAAGTAAATTATCTTTTCGCAACGGACTTGGAAGGATAAAATTAAGCTCTTTTGTATGTCGGGGGAGGGGGGTAGTTTGTCCTTTGTGTGAAATGGAAGTAACGTAATTTGCATCAGGCTTAAGGCCATAAAAATAGTTGAGCTCACTTTTGATCTCGGTCTCACTTTTTTACTATTAATTCCTTTGGTAAAAGTGAGACGGAGACCAAAAGTGAGCTCATCTCAGTTTTATGGCCCTGTGCCAAGGATTGAAGCAATGTTGCCTTGTTTTCATAAATATTGTTTGCGAGGGGAGGGGGTCCTCCGCATCGCGGCATCTTTGTTGTAATTAATCATTTAGTGAGACAGCAATAAGGTTTTCATTTTCATAAAGAAAATATTGTGACAGCGGATTATATATATAATGCAAGATATTCCTGACTTTTCAAGAGGAAATTAACGAATTTAAGGCAGATTTACTGAAGAAAACATTCACTAAAAAGAAACTGGGAACATATTTTGAAAGGTGAAAAATTTTACTGCATCTTTAAATTGTTTATCATTCAGGATTACAAGATTGAAATGAAATCATTCTTTAAAAAGGTGTAAAAAGTCATAATTTGTCGTTAAACCAACATAAATAGTCACCAGGGAACAAACTTTTAGAGTGGTTTCATGATTCACATGTATCAGTGTTACAAACTGATACCAAATAAAGAATAGATGGCTTTATATGGTGTGAGGTCTGTGTGATAGAAAATATTATATCATCATCGACATTGTGTTAAATGTTATATACGAGAACCTAGTATTATTACACATATACGAAGAAATATTGAATTTATTAACGGTATTGTACACGTATATTCAAACATATCGTGACGTATATTTGATGTGATTCGTTGTTATTTAAAAAGCTTCTTTTCCTTCTAGATACAGATACATTGTGATGGAACGTTAGCTTGAATGCAGTTATGAATTACAGTCAACATTCAAACATTAGCAACAGAACTGCTATTTTTGGAGGCGGTATGGATGTAGTCTCCCCGGACCTCCCAGAAGAATTACGATTTGCTGCCTACGTTCTCAATGAGTATAGCATCCCCGTGCTTTTTTCGGTGGGAGTGTGCATGAACATAGTTATTATTATCAGCTTTCTGTCCACGGAGTTAAACAGAGTGTCGCCTTGCTTGTACTTTGTGGCTCTGGCATTTGTTGATATCACCTATCTACTGCAAATGATGGTCCCATGGGCCTCAAGGAAGGTCTATAACATATACGCAGTGGCAGGAATTTGTCAGCTGACCTACTATTTCCATTATCTGAGTACCTTTATGGAGTGGTGGTTAATGGTATTAATGATCACAGAAAGGTCGTTGGTACTTCTGAACCGTAAAAAAGCAAAGATGTTATGTAGTCCATTTCGGACAAAGTGTACCATTATTTCTATGTGTGTCTTTTCCGTTGTGTCTCATTTGTATTTAACATGGACCAGTGCCGTGATAAAAATAAAAAATGTTGATTACTGCATCATCATTCCGGAAAACCTGGAGAACATATTCTTACTGAGAAAAATTGATGTTTTCTTTTCATTTATCCTCCCTTCTCTGTGTGTATTTGCTCTATTGACAACATGCATCATCAAACTCTGTGACAATCGAAGAAATGGACACAGACGTCCAACACCTAGTCAGAGTAGCCGACGATCCAACTCTAATCGGCGTCCGAGCAATCTAGAACCGGAAGACAGAGGGATAATTTACCTTAAAAAGTTTTATCCTGGAGTGTTCACGGGAAGTGAGAGATTGACAGTCACGTGCTGTATTTTGGCGGCCATTTTTCTTTTCTTATGTGTGCCTTGTGACTCCCTGAGGACACGACAGACGTTCGAGGAACAGCCGGACTACTTAGACCAGAAGTGGTTAGAGGTTCTCAGTGTCTTCTCCGCCTTTAACTACACCTATAAAGCCTTTCTGTATTTTATCGCCATTAAGGAGTTTCGGCAAACTATTTGGATTCTGTTGAAAAAGATTATTTCACCATGCAGCAATGCAAAATTTTCTCTTAAATTTCAGCTCATGTAAAATCATTGCACAATCAAATCTGGATCTAGACGACTTAGTGTATTTAGCAAGATAATCGCAATCATCACCCATGATATCTCTTACCGTCGGTATTTCTGTGCAACAGACAATTATGTATGAAGCAACCAGAAACTATAACGATTTTGTGTTTTTGTAGTCATTATTTAGCTTCATCATAATCTAGTAAAGAAATAAAAAAATTCAAATGTAAAATTATTCTCCAATAAAGATAAGTCTAGTAATAAAATAAGATATAAAAATTTTCCTTGATATGATAGTGGTGAATGTTTCTTTGCATTTGCGTTAAATAAAATTATAAAGAAGTGTTCTTTAGTTACTTTGATATCAATTTGGAAGACTGAGTCTCTAGTACATTACTACACATAATATCTCATACTAGAAAGCTAAACACATTAAATCGTACCCAAGACATACTTATGTGTAATAATGTCTTATGCATGACTCAGTAAATTCGACATATCAGAGACATACGTGCGACTAAATAGTGAATATATTACCTGAGAGGCTGAGACATATGAAGTGTGTTGTGCATACGTCCTATTTTGTCGTCGTTCTGTGTTTCAAAATGTAAATATGAAAACAAATACAGAATTATCAGTAAAAGATGCGATGATATCATGTTTCAATAGAGATATAAACGGTTTTATTTATTATTCATTTTATTTTATTTACTTGCTCGTAAGTGATAATTTTTAAAGTATACCATTCTTATTTTGGAATATTATTGGGATGTTCTGTAATGTGCAATAAAGTTTTTGAATTTTCTATCGCTCCCTAGATGCGATTTTGGGTAAAAATAAAACTCCTTAATTATGCAAAAGCCTGATTTTGTGAACTCCACTCAATAGTATAACAGGAACCAACACATCTCCCTGAATAAAAAAGGTGCTGTCCTGAAGATACAGAAGGCAAGAATTTGGAACTTTGCAATCAGTTTCCATGCTGGGAACAAATTGCATGGATCAAGACACTTTTCGATGGATTTTTCCGTTACTTACTTTATGACAAGGAGCACACGGTGTGTGTAACCCACGCATAGGGATGCTCAATTCTCCATGGCACTTGATCCCACCTCTGATGTTTTGTAGGCCATTGTTTGCTCTGCTCCTATTTTATATTGTTTAATAGAATTTTGAGCTAGAATACTGTACTAAATATATTTAGGAACATGATTGGGAGTGCCGTGTAGATGTGTAATAAGGTTTCGGCAATGGGGATGGGGGTGGCGGTAAAAGGCAATTTTTCTTCAAAAAGCCGCTTCACCGGAACACTTCTGACAGTGTTGAATGGACCAGAGGTTTTGAAAATTTGATTTTCATTTGGGGTAATGTGGGTCGACAACAAGACCTGTGTCTCTGCATTCTTTATATATTTTTTTCTTTCAGTTGCCGACTCCTCAATGGAATGTGATTGGTTTAGCCTATAAATATGCAACAAAGTTCTAGAAATCGTTCATAAAGTAAGGGTGACTTGTGGTCAAAAAGTCATTTATCTACAAAATCTGGCTCCCAATATTCCTGTTTTTGTAAAAGGCAACCCTCAATATTTTGGATTGTGATTGGTAGAGTCCTGTGCAATAAGATTTCGAAATTTGATTTTCACTATTAGGCAAAACGAGGGTAAAATGTTTCCAAATGGTTTCAGTTACTCTTACATTTTCACAGTACTCTAGTTGGTAAATTTAGAGGCAAACACCGTCCGTACAAATCTTTCTCTCTCCTTTTCTATTCAAAATAGGTCCTTTTTTAATTACTCGGATGAATTATATCCTTGCAATTCCGAACAAGTTTTGGGCGACATCTATGGCACGCCAAATTCACAAAAATGAGATAAACATAGTTTCACAGTCGATAAACTAGGTTTATCGGTTGTAAACTATAGTTTACGGACTGTAAACTATAGTTAACAACGTTAATCTATATTTTACATCCGTAAACCATAGTTAACGCGATAATCTATGTTTCACAACCGTAAACTATACTTAACACTGAAAACAATCATTTGCGATTACAAAACATAGATTATCTGATAAATACAGTTTCACGATTTGTAAACTATAGTTTACAAACCGTTAACTATAGTTAACGATCTGATAAATATAGTTTCAATTTGTGAAACTATGATTAACAACTCTTAACTATAGTTTACGATTGTAAACTATAGTTTACAAACGTGAATCTATGTTTATCAACAAAATCTATTGTTAACGCTTATTACAGACAGATAAACTTAGATTAGCATTCGTAAAGTATAGTTAACAACCGTTAAATATAGTTTTACAAATAAAAACTATAGTTAATGATTTGTAAAATATAGTTTACAGTCGATAAACCTAGTTTATCACTTGTGAAAGTAGGTTTATCTCATTTTTGTGAATTTGGCGTGCCATAGACATCCCCATAATTATAAAATAACAAATAACCTGCTGCGTATCATTTTCGCGGAATACAGTCTTTTCACCCTTTGAGAAGACCTCAATTTAAGAAAGAAATAAATCTTATTTTTTCCTTCAATGCATTCTGATTTTGATGAAAACTTTATCCTACAACTCATTTCATTTGTTTCATTATTTACAGAGAGGAGAAATTGCCTATCTTCTAAAACATATCCTGTCTTCATAGAAGAAGTTGATCTGTCAAGAATATCCGCGTTCCTCAATCTCAGGCAGACAGTATCTGCTGAATAGATAAAATTCAGCGCTGTCAACTTTTACCCACCGTTTGGCTAATTGGCAGTAATTGAGATTTAGAAAAAGAATTTCAAGGAAAACGTGCAAAAGTCTAATGGTATGGCTTGTTAAAACGTGTCACTTGTGGCATAAGTTAAATCAAAGTGTATTATAGAAAACTACTCATATACGAGGGCTGTTCAATTAAGAAATAAACAACAATGTTAAAAAGTTCTCTGGGAAATGAACTTTTAGTTGGTCACGTGATCAAATCCTGCGAAGCCCGAAGGGCTTCTCAGTAGATTTGATCACGTACTAACTAAAAGTTCATTTCCCAGTGAACTTTTTAACATTGTTGTTTATTACTTATATTTACATTTGAAACGAATATATTTCGAGTTAAATTGTATTTATTACACGAACGGGCCAACGTATTGCTATGTAGTGACGCGCAATGACCTAGAAGTTGTTTGGTCAAAATATCACATCGCTCTGTGATCCGGTCGCGCTATGACCTCTGACCCCCAAATGAAATTCACACAGAATTGAACGTATTTTCTCTTCAATAGGTTCATCTAAGAAAGATATTTGCAAATGTAAATATTAAAATAATGTCCTCGGCGCTCGGAGAGAAGCAAAAGACGCTTTTCAGTGATTTAGTCTTAATGATTTAACTTAACATTCTCTTTTAATTAAAACCATGTCCATAACATTTTTTATCCAATTACGGATTGTTTTTAGAACTCATTTTTGGGTATGACCCTTAGTATACTGGAAAAATGGCAGATCCTATGATTTCCTGGACTTGTTTCGTCCTTCTGAAAGGTGTTTTTTCAAGTTTGGAAATAGAAACAAGTCAAAAGGTCAAAGATCTGGCGAATATTGCTAAAGTGAATAAACATTAACTTTCTGTTTATCCCCAAAACTCTCTTACTTTTCAGGGCGAGCGGGTTTGGACGCTGTTATGAAAATATTTTATGTAGTGAATTCCAGGTTCTGGTTTCTTCCTCTAATAAAACTTTCAATTTATTTTGCAAAAAATCAGCTTTCTAGACTCCTCCAGATATTCAACTGTCTCCCCGAATACGAATTTGAACAACAATACCACTAATATTTAAGAAAATGGCATATAAATCTGTCTTTGTGCTCTTGCAATTCTTTGCTCTTGTCAGACCTTCGCTATTTTTGTCAACTACATCTTATGGTAAATTTTGTTTTGAGGGTTTTAAGCAATAGATTAAAGTTTCATGATCTGTTTTTTTTAATTTTGAAATTTTAAACAAACGTGGATAACTAAAATTACTGATACTTTAAAATAATTATTAAGACATTCGTGCACGCTGTCGTTTTCACTCATTTTTCAAAATATAGGGTGACCTTTGAGTACTAAGCTTTTTTACCGTCAAACTTTTCTTTGTGTGAACTACTCCCGATATGATGTCTATCAAATTTTCTATGTGTCTTAAAGCAAACCATACATCATCGAATATTATTTGTTGAAATTTAGCAAACAGTACATAAGTTGTTATAATTTTTGTTGGCAAGGACAATACCCATTTTTGATGCCCAATATATAATTTTTTATCATTGAAATCCACCTGCTCATTTGTCAATAAAACAGGCATTGGTTGCTGTTAATTTCACATATTTCATTGAATTTTTCTTTGGGATTTTTAAAAAAGTTTTACAACAGCTTTAACGAAGCTTTTATTTTCACTCTTGTTTACTGATTCTTTATCATTCATTTTTAATGCAGTGTCTCGAATAGTTTCCACCCTCTCACAATGAAACTATGTGATGAATAGTGGTAACATAAACTGTCATAAATTCATTAAAGATTCACTAATGTGAGAGAATCAAGCTTAATGTCATATGATATCTGTATTGTATGTCATACAGTTCAGGGCATTATTTCTTGAACAGCCCTCGTAGCATAACCCAAATGTCAACGGGGAATGAATGTGCCTATAACTAAACAGAGTTACAATTAACTTGCACATTTTGCACGTTTAAGGTTAATCGTTGTAACCTTTAAAATATTTAATCAAATGTAATTACCAGGTAATGACAATGTATACTATGTAATTTAAAGTTCAAGTTCAGTTTACTATCCAAAATAAACCAAAAATTATACTAAATTTGGAACAGTTTACATTTTTATCAAAATATATGGTTTGAAAGCAATGTATTTTTATTTTTTCCTGGTCAATATAATCTTTTTGACACAGTATGTGGAGTAAATATGAAAATTTATTTTAAAATTTATGTGAAGCCTACATATAGCAAATAAAAACAAAAAATATAACTGGGTAAACATTTACAAATATTGTTTTAAGGACATGTTTATATTTGATGGATGTCTTCTAATGAAATTTATGGAGGTAACAAACAGTATTCAAGCTCAAATTTCCCTTAAACAATACAAATTAGGAGCAGAACAAACAAAAACCCCAAAGCCTCAGAGGTGGGATCAGGTGCCATGCTCCTTGTTTGATCGGGAAATAACGTAAATCAACTTTTGTTCGTATCAACTTTTATTTACGATTCGTCTGTTTGAAATCAGTCCGCAACGATTAATTTTCGCGATTGAGGAACCATTCACAGATACAAAGCAAAATAAATGGTTCGCTGCGAT